TGTGAAGATCACAGCTTTTTTTTTGCTTCTCTAGCCACTGAGTAAACTTCTTCAAACCCCAAGAGGTCTGTTTTTTGGTGTTTACTGGCACGCAATCAGCCTCTAACTTTTGTAGATCTTCTTCCTCTAGTTGAGAAGACTGCGAATTTACATTTTCTTCGTTGTTTACTGCGTTTTCAGCCATGGTTTGGGCATGAAAATGGCGCTATCATTTCTTTCACCAACGCAGCAAGACGCGACGGCGCGAACATTCTATGGCTTCTCGATTTTGATTGGCTGCTTAAATCGTACGACTGTTTGATTTTCACTTTTCACTGGTTTATTTCAGCGGGCTAAAATACATTTTAGCCCGCCAAATTCTCCATTTCAGCCCGAAAAATGCGCCACAATGCTCGACAAGGTGATAATAATAAACGTTTTATCATTCGATCACCGAGTTTGTTTTTTAAGGAACACCTTCGGGAAGTGAAGCGATCTGCCATTTTCCCGCAAAGCGATCGCAAGAAGGAGAAAAGCGTGGTTTCATTGCGCATGAGTAGAATATTATTTGCAGCCAAACAAAGTCGAACGACATTGCGCATGAGCAGACCATTGTTTGTAGGCAGTTATTTGCAGGCCACGTGGTGGGCTCTCGATTAATAAAGGAAGAAAAATTTGCAAAGAATGATAATAACACTTATTTATGCATATATTTTTCAAATACCATCTTAGATTGGAAAGTTGGTAGATTTGCAATGTCTCTAGTGTTTGGAAAAAGAAAAAAATTTCAGTCCTTAGCAGGATTTGAACTCATGGGATGCCTGGTGAACTACTATTTAAGATTAGTATATACTAAAACAGTGGATAGTGTTTTTCGCGCGGTCTGATTGGCTACTCAATCAGTGAATAACCTGCACTATTCACTGATTCACCTCCAGTTCCTCCGAGCGAGCGACACCAAACTCGCGTAGGTTGCGAGCAAAATGCTTTCCCGGTTTGCTGCCGTGACAAACTAAGAAATTTCACAACTAATCAAGCAAGCTATTTCCGAAATACATGAAGAAGGTAAAGCTTTGTCTTTTTGGCTTGAATAGTTATCGATAAAACCGGTGAAAAGTTTTTTGTTTACAAATGCAAATTAAGCTTAAGTCTTGCGTTACTTTATTTGGTTGACTTGTTCATAAATAAGCTTAAAACTAAATTTAATAATCTTTTTTACAGAATTATTGTAAATGCAAACAGAATTCACAACTCCTTTTGAAGAAACTTCGCCGCAAGAGCTAAACAAACGCCTTCAAAAGTTTTATTTGTCGCTAAGAAAAAGCGACGACCGCGGCCGTTCGGTCATCGCGCGCCAAAATTGTAATCGTTGGCAACAGCAAATGAGTTAAAAATCATCATTTTGTGCTCAATTATCTCACTGTTTTAGTATATACTAAAACAATTATTCACCTCAGTGTCAGTGGTTAGTAGTGGTATTTTAAATATCCAATACTAGCCACCTCCACTTCGGTGAATAATTGTTATATATCCCGACCTTGATGAAAGGATGGGGGGTGGGGGGCGCTCATCTTGACCTTGTAATAAGAAAGGGTGGTCTTATTAACACCAAACGAAGGGTTCAGCGTCAAAATCCAAGTTTATTGGTTTAAGGAGAATAATTCGAAGGCATCATAGATGTTTCAATTGATGTGGTGATTGTGACAGTTGTGATGATTGCGATGGTTCGACCAAAAGACAAAACGATACAAAGATTTTGAGAAAAACTAACAAGCAGAAATTACTTACAAAACCAATGGAAAAACGAAAACTTACAGGTATTTTTTCCTTTTGCAATAGATTGATAAAGGAAGCTGAAAACACACTCCTGTTGATATTGTTGAACTTGATATGAAAAGCTGAATTGCGAAATACCTAGAGAGGGCTAAAATTACAATCTTCAGAAGTTATATTTTAACTGAGTAACGCGTCTCCTGAAAGTGCGCGTTTGAATATAACAGGTCTAGAAAAAGAAATTTCGCGGCCCTGCGGAACTCAGATGTTTTGGTCGAAAAAAGGGGGAAGACAGCCCTCCTGGCCCCCCTTCGCTAGGCTTACTAATGAACTAGACCGTTTGCTGCTACCGTTTTACACTCTTTTATTTCTATAAAAGTACATTTCATTAGAATATAGAGGCTGAAATTTGCAAATTTAAAGAATGTTTTTTTAAAATCAAACCCGAGGCTGAGATTTCGAAAATGACATTATTTTGAGTGTTGAAAATCTGAAAATATGTTTCCAACTTGGCCGTATAAAATTATTGCTTCCTCTCAACGGCCAAACTACCCATGGCAACAAAACGAAGAAACCTGCACATATGTTATGGACAAATGTTCAATACAAATGACAGTTCGATGAACGGTAGCTGAAATACATATCTATAGTATAGAACACCAAAGAAATGACAAACCCCACAAAGTATATGATAAATTATTTCTTCTTCAATTATGATTTAAGAATAATACAAGAATATTTTCAGGCTAAAATCAGCATATTAGGAATGTTCAGCCAGGGTCGAGAAACCGACACTTTTATATAAAAGAAAACGTGTACACGCTTTTCCTGTCACTCAAAAGTGTTAGGGATAATAAGTGGTTAGACTGATCTTAGTAGATGCTCTCCAAGTTATCGTTCATTTGAATACCAAGTAACCTCGTTCTTTCCGCCGTTTACTATAACAAAATATTAACAAAAGACGTGTCTCAAAACAATCAATTTATGTACTTTTATGTACAACGCTTTTTTAAAGATATGTAAAAAGCTCTCCTTTTATGGCAGTAAAAAGATGATTGTCAATGTGACACAGCAGTTTTAGACATGAACTAAGACAGGGCTGCAGAGCTTTCTCCTTTAATGCATGAACTCATATTAGAGAGATTTAGACTGATCTCGGTTATGGCAAACCTAAGATTCAAGTTGACGACTTTTCAAAATAGGTAATAAGCAGATAGAAACTGTCCAGACTAATTCTCATGGACGAAACTGGCGTGAAACTACTGAACACAGTAAACGACAAGTAAAGAGAAACTTGGTCACGTGGCACAAACTGATGTTTGTCGTTGGTCGTAAACGTGATTTTAAATCTCCTTTGTCAGGTTGTTAGTTTGACATCAAACTAGTAATGTTTCATTTGAATAAGTCCTTTCACGCAAGTACTTGTTTCCTTTTGTTTAGTGCTTTACTCGAGAATCTCGTAATCAAATTAAAGATTATAATGATGGCCCATAGTCACTTTTTTGTCACCGTAAGGGCAGATCGCCATGATAAAAATGTCCTTAATTGAGTGCAACCCAAGGCAAAAACTCTCCTTAAAATATATTTTATTAATCAAGACTTTTGCTAACTAAAATGAACAACTTTGTATGCAGATCAAGGTTTTTTTTTCCAGAACTCCAGAAATCGAAGACGTACAAAAAAACCGCAAGTCGAAACTTTGTTCAGTTGCACAGTTTCTTATTTCGATATAAATCCTGGGTAAAATTGTGATCTTTTGGTAACAAGAGCGGATGTATATGAAAACGATAAGACGTGACACACTTACTAATGTTAGGGTAATTCATAGGTTTACTGACAATCAAGGCTTTTTACGCACTTTTTAAATTAGACAAAACGGCGCTAAAAGGCTGTGAAGGAAAATATGGAAAATGCTGTAAATAAGTTCTAAGCTTTGTGTTAAAAATGTTATATCTGTCACATCGGGTGCACATTTTCGTTTTAAAACAGTTTTGAATTTTCATAAAACATTTAGATCATTGAGCTGCAGTCTAAACGATTAATGGATTAAAAATGGAGAAAAAAATTCAAAGTTATTGTTTGCTGTGGTAGTTACTTTTTTAAGACAGGTGCTAACTTAGGCCAGAACATCCGGGAAGAGAAAAAAGGATATCACAAAACTACGTTTTGATTTGCCAAACAACAGTCAATTTTTAGAGGGCGACCTATTTGTTTTAGCAATATTTTTTAACTTTAGGTTTATGTCAAAGCATGTTAGGTTACAGTGTGTAAAAAAACGTCGGAGCTAAATCAATCCTTCATTCTAGGATCAAAATACAGTCAGATCTGTCGGAAATCAAGGTTATTTATACTCATGAAAAAAAAAAATGAAACGAGAAATCTTATCACCGCATTGTCGACAATTACTTCCTTTTACTTTTTTGTTTCCCTTTCCATTTGCTTTAATCTTGGATACACAAAAGCAGTCAATTGTACGCTAGCGTACACGCCTGATTGTTCACTTTTCCAGACTTCAGTTCCGTCGGTAGAACATTTGTTATAATTTTTCTCTATAGAGCGGTTTTCACTTGACTGTCGAAAGGGATTGGTTTTGGTTTTGGTTTTACAACGCCCTTTGGTTGGCTAGTGTATTTACTTTGGTTTTGGTTTTACGACAGTCAAGTGAAAACCGCTCTAAAATTTGGACATATAATCAGCTGTTGTGGGCTTAGGAAATATAATAGTTTCCTTTGCCGGGTTTTCATGCTTAAAATTATCATTATAAAAGTGCGAGTCTCGGTTTTCTCTTTCTTTTTTTTTCTGAGGCAATTTTTGTTCAAATGAACGAAGCGGAGTTTAAGGTATAGATTCTGTGGTAAAAATGAGCTTACAACATTTAACCCCGAGATAACTTTCATAGTGAGGAGACACTAATTTCTATTTATATATATTTTTTTCATATTGAGGAAGACGAAAGGACCAATAGCCACATAGAAACACTGAGACAAAATTAGCAAAAAAAAAACTCCTAAAGCAACAAAATAATGGCTTACTGATGCATTTATAAGCCAGATTCACCTGCGCTGTTGCATTGCAATCAAGTTATCAAGGGTATTTGCATCAAAGTGTGGAGACGAAGTTGGGAGAAGAGCAACGATGAATGAGGCAAAATGGCTCTATATTTTTGTTATTTTTACATTGACCGTGAAGGTAGGTAGAGCGTCTTTCACTTGAATGGCATTTTGTGTTTTACGTACTTCAAAGGATAATGGAAAACATTTCGTTCTCATTTTGTTTAGGGAGCAGAGGTATCTTGCAGCCACGGATTACATAATCATGGTAAATAAACAGGATAAAATTTAAAAAGATACTAGATGACACTCAAAGATATTGTTCAAAGTAGACAGACTGCAAATTATCCTAGTTGCTAAAAAATATATATATATCTCTACGTGTCGCAACTGTTCATCAGTAGGATGCCTAAAATGCGTGCAATTCCACAATTGGTTTCGGCTCCATTAAATCCTATTGCAGTCACTCAATCTAGTGTTTTTCGACTCGGATCTGATTCTCAAAGCACATTAAGAGAGGATCAACAAAGTAGAGAAGGGTGAATAATAGCAGAAAAATCAAGACTTAGCCACGTTTCCAAGAGCTCTGATCACTTGTAACAATGATTTCCGGGATTTAAATCTCTGCTGTATATTTTTGTGTTTTGAAGATACAGATGATACTATAAGATACAAAAGATTTACATATAAAGTTACGATTTTCCTCTTTTTTTTTTTACCTTGATTTAAGTTTCTTTACGTGAAAACCGTTGAAACAAGGCGAGAAACGAGATAAAAGCTACCTGTTTACATTGTTTGAGTCATTGAAACCGTGGCGTATTGTCCAGAGAGCAAAAATGGCATCAGATCACACCCTAAAGAAGAGCCTTGTCGGGATCTTTTTTAGGGTCTAACATTTTCATCGGAGTACATATAAGTATACTGGCTTCATAAGTTGATGCTACCGGAAGGGCTAAAAGATACAGTTTTGTGCTTGATTTCGACAGATTTATTTGCGTGTGAATCTCTGGTTTCTGGGTCGAATGCTTCAATTACGTTCGATGCCGAGGTGTCTGTGGGCCACGGATGGAAAAGAAGTACCCAGAATCATTCTTCTTTATGTGCTGAGTTTTCACCTAAATATAATTATCTGGAAATACGGTTCAATCATTTCTACGACATATGTGCAGTAACAACATGGACTAAGAATTCAAATCATACACTTGCAAACGTCAGGATACAGTACTCTAATTCTATGACCTTCTGGCCCTATTACCAGCAGGTGAGGGCAATTGTGAAGGTTAGTAACTATTTATCGAGCCCCGTTGGAGCTGCTTTTATCAATTATCATCTTTGTCAGGCCTATGCGAATATACCGCTAGGTCATGTAGGTAGCTTTGAATCCTTTTTTTAATTCTGGAACAACAACAACAAATGTTATTTAGTACAGTTGCATCACTCGGCAGTGACTATTGTCGCTTTCATCTTGTCAAAATGTCGTCAAATATCCCACATATTTCCAAATTAGTCATCAAAATTATAAAGTTATTTCAGTGGACGCTGAATTCCTTGTATCCTTTAAATTACTACCTATGTGTGCGCCATTTGAGGCACCAACCAAACGACGCCCCTGTTCTCTCCCCCCTCGCCTCACAAGGGGCCGGGTGTAATGTGAGCAACTATAAAGTAGAGATGCTTTAATATGCCAAAGGCATATGCAACTTCCAACTGGCTATACCCAGTTAATAGTCTGTTTTTTTTTAAACCAGGATTTTCAACAGGTAAACATTACCAGCGGCATTGTCGTACACCGTCTTCATTTAACAACAAAATATATTCGCTTCATTCAAAGCAACTGGAAAAAAGGATCTTGCGTTAATTTTGACATATATGGAAATATTGCTTGTAAGTATTTTTTAAAATAATTATTAATCCTCGAAAGCGAAAATCAAAACTAGTTAAAACGAAATAAGAGGTAAGATAGATACTGTGAAATCTGTACATAAAGGAAATTTCTTTTCTAAGAACAGCGAGGTTGAAATTTGCGAAGTTTTAAGAATATCTTAAGAATAAACCAGGGGCTGAGATTTTGAAAAAATAATTTTTCTATATTAAAAATTTGTAAATACAAAAATACAATTAACCGTATATAATTCTTCCTTTCCCCAGATAATAAAAGAGAAAAACCTGCACTAGTAACCCAATATATATTTTAGCTTAATATCGATAGAAAAATAAGAATATTCTACCTGTCCCGGAAAAACAATATGTTTATAAAAAGCTTGTAGAAAACGGCCACTTAATGTAAGCGGTCGCTCACAAAAATACTCACAGGGCGTGATCGAATGTCAGTTTTAATAAGAAGGTTTCACTCAATCTTTTTATCAAACTTTTAGACGCTCTATACCAGGGCGGCCTTTTTCTGTCCATATGTTCTTTATATTTTCAACAAGTTGCTAACTTTTACCCGTGGAGTAAACGTATCATTGTTTTCAAAAATTTTGATCCTGGCAAAACCAGTGTGCAAAGATTCTCAGAAGAGGATGGATACATGGTGCCAAATAACACCAGGTTTTGCTACTGCCATGGATTTGGGATGTTCTGGTGAGCTGAAAGCTAGGTTTGACAGAAGCAAGAATTCAACAAAGAAGATGTGGCGATGTTATCACGAGTCAGCCTTAACAGCAGACTTAAGTCGTTATAACGACAAACTGAAGAGTCCATGTTACTACACCAGGCACCGACAGCTAAATCAAGTGCTGCAAAGCTGTAAGTTTTAGATTCATCTTCAGAAGTTTAAGACAACGTAAGACTGTCTTTTTGTTCTTGTAGGACAGTTGATAACTAGACTAGGATTTAACTGAAGAGGTGGTCAGATTTTCTTCGAGCAGATTGTATAACTGAATTTGTAAAGAGTTTTTATCAGTTGTTTTGTTACTCTAAATGGTGTGGTCAGCCACCCAGTTTGACTCCTTCAGCCTATCCCTGGAAGTCAGTTAAATACCCATTCATAGGGACGCTAAGTGGGTCAAAAGCCTAGCAAAAATGGAAGTTAGTTCAATCGAGGCTAAGCGCTGGAAGGCTGTGATTGGTGTGCTAATAAAGGACACCTAACAAACATATCTTGAGGTATCTTGAGATTAATCGCCATTATTTATCTTTTTTAAAGGTTCACAAAACTTTACGGTGGAGAATTGTTCGCTGGTAAGTTTCAGTGAGTCCCATGTGATTTTTAGTCGCCACTTTCCAGCAGCAAAAGGCAATGCTAGAATCCCCTTTTAAATTCAAGAGTAAAAATTCGCCACATGTAAGGCAATCAGAATTCTGGAATCCAGGTAATGTTTTCTTCTTTTGGAATCCGAAATCTTAGGCTTTGAAATCCGGAATTCAGCTCAAGGAATCCGGAATCCAAGTTCCACTGAAGGAGAATCTTGAATCTAATTCCTGATGAAATACAGAATCAACGGCGTGGGATCCAGAATCCAAGACCGTCTTAGATTAACCACCTTATGTGGTGCCAACAAATTAATGCTTAGATTGATGCATTTCGAATCAAATGAGCAAAATTTGACAAGGTCGAAGTTCTTTCCTTCATTAATTTATTTTGTGAAACACGTCCACAGAGAACACGAGAGAAATATAAATGTTGACAAGGATGTAAAATTTCTTTCTTCCATACGTAGTTTTTTCTCCGTATTTGTGTACTCACCACTTTAGAAAACAAAAATAAAACTGGGCCGAGTTAACTTTGGCAAAGACTTCTGGGACTGTTCATAGAAACAGAGAAAAAAATCGGTCAATAGGGAACTTAAGGAAATACGTTTTTGAACCGCAGTAGTTAAGGGGGTTGATATGGATAGTAACCAATCACAGAGCAGTATTCTTTTGTTTAAGATTTAGAGAACAATGGGAATAATGGAGCTCATTCGTATTCAGTACTTTGAACCAATCGCAGAGCAGCATTAGAAATACCCCCTTCATGTAATAGTCAGCAAAAGCACATGTTATAATTTTCGTGCCATATTCAACTTCGCGCTAAAAGATCAGGGGCACCCAACGACAATTTTCGGAAAATATGTGTTCGGAAGACGATTTGCGATCTAGAATTTTCGGAACATTTGCTGTAACATTTCTTGCTTGCCTGCCTCTCCTAGGATTTTCGAACATCTAAAAAATGGTATAATTGCCCATTTCTAACGGATTTTTACTCTTAAAAGGTCACCTAGAATTTTCGTGAACCTTTTTTGTGGCTGAAATTTTCGAAAAGGTAAGTTTTGATCCCTATAATTTTCGGATCACTAGACTTTCAGCTAGGAAATCCGAACAGATGAAAAATTTCTAGGGGATAAAAATATGCCTATATCTACCGTTTAAATACTAAAATACGTTTAACAATGCTATGTTTAAGTGGTTTTGAACTATCTTCTCGTTGGATGCCCCTGAAAGATGTTTTATTATGCAAGAAAATGGCTCCCTTTGCCATGAACGCATCAAATATTGAACGATTTGCTGCCTTAACAACACAAAGGCAGAAAGACCTCTTCGAAGTAAACAAGAACTTAACCGAACAATGGTTTTGGCATTTACGGCGATTGGAAAAAAAGCAAGATAAACGAGTGTTGTTTGCACGCGATGGTATGCTGTACAAAGAATTTTACAAGGTCCAGAAACGGACCCGATTTTGCAGGGGCAAAGAAATTTACACAACACAGTATTTCATCGCAATTATTTTATTCACCTCAAAGAGTATATCATTGTACACAAGAAACAATAATAATGACTAAAGAAATGGCTAATGGTTACATCATCACTTAATGTGTAGTCTACCAAATTGTCTCTGTAAGTTAGGTCTTGTTCGTAGGTAGGTCCTTTTTCAGATGATACAAATAACACATTTTGTTGTAATCTTCGCTTGAACAAATCGTTCATTTCCAATGAGGCATCAGGATAATCGTAGATATTGCGTACACCAATAATGACAGTTCTGCTGATCAACGTGGGGTTCATAATCTGTTCCTACGTCATTTCCTCACACCATACTTTTTGAAATGCAATCCGTTGTAGCTGTAGTTTGTTGGAAAACGGACCACCATAAGAGAATTATTTCTCAGCCATACTTGTCTTTGGACAAACACGCCGCGGGTTGATTATGCAAAAATCTTCAACTTAAGACCAGGTATTGTGTAAAAAAAATGCAATTAAGAATTAGCCGTTTAGCTTTTGTCTTTTTTTAAAAATGAGCGATTAAGACATTGAGTTCCCACATCGAAAAAAGTCGAGGAATGTTGTTTCACAATCATCTAGAACATGTTGTATTTCTTTGCAAAATTGTAATTCTCTGTCTATCGACAAACCTATGAAATACCTGTGGCAAAAACAACAAGACGATTCAGAAGAAGAGGGCTCTTTTAACCCTGATTGGATAGTGAACAATCTATTATGTGTTCAACAGACAAACGCGCTCTCCGTTCAATCATGATTTCATTCTTTAAAGTTCAGTTTGCTCGGAAAAAAGTCTTAACTCTCAACAATATTCTTTGGAACATTGTCCAGCGTCAAAGGATAGCCAGTTTTATTGGACATGTATTCTAACTGACTTATGCGGCTTTGGTTGACAAACTCATCCAACAAGAAAAGCTGAATCACTGCGACGGTTGTGCTATTCAACACCCAAGTCAAAACCAACATTCTTGCCTCATGATGGATAATGATGACGCATGGAAGTATTACCACGATGAAGTGGTGGAACAAATTGACCTGAATTCTATGTTGAACGCTACCGAAAGTATATGCAGTGCTCCCGGCTTCAAACTAGATAAATCATGGGAAGCGTACTGCCAAATATTGCCGTGGACCAGTATTTACCTCGCTTCTCTGGAACTTGATGTTGTCCAGCAGGGTGATGATCTTCAAAGCCGTATTTTATACGCTCTATACTACCGACCAAATGGGCTCAAATGGAAAGATTTCAGTGATCAACAAGAAACAATAGAATGCCTTGATAGAGTCGTGAGAAAAGAAGAACACCAATGGACCTTGACATGATGATTAATGACATTCAAAATAAGCTTTGTTTCTAAAAGTAATAAAATTTCTTCATGATGACTAAGATTTTGAGTCGGTGTGTGTTTGTCTCTGTCTTTGTCAAGATGGGGCTTTCTCTGTCTTTGCTTCGGGTCGACTTTTCTCTGTATCGCATTGTATATAAAGAGTTTTCCTTTATGTGTAAAAAAATGTCATTTGTTCATAGTTTGTAAATAAATATGGTTTAATATACTAAACACGGTTGGTTGTCTGTCTAGCCGCGCGTGCGTGTGTGCGCCACGCGCGATTCAATCACCCGCGTAAAAGAAAAACACAGTGATATACAAGGCCCTTGTGGCCCCTGTGGCCCGTTCTCAATAGTCATAAACTTCGTGTCATTAGCGGTTTTACTCAGTTGGTATCGAACCTTCGTACCGTGAACATCATGGGTAAGCGTGTATGTCGTCATTGCCCAATACCGGGATGTCACTCTAAATTTTTAGTTCGATTAGCAAACCATTTGGCTCAGGTACACGAGCTGTCTGACTTAGAGAGAAAATATTGGCTCCAGTTTGCTAAATTACAAAATACCAACATGGTTCGAGTTTATGATAAAGATACTCCGCCAAATACCATTTCGATATAAATAAGAGCAAACGCAGTTGAACCAGTCAGTTATCAACATGGACCCAAGGTGGAAACACCTCTTTCCTGCTATTGTAGCTGGCCCCACTTGTTGTGGAAAAAGTCGTTTTGTCAAACACCTGTTGGAATCTGGAGAAGAATTAATAGACGGAGCTCCTGAAAATATCATTTGGTGTTATGGAATATACCAACCGGCTTATGATGAAATGCTAAGGACTATTCCCAACATCACGTTCGTCGAAGGAGTTCCTGGTGATTTATAATCTCTGATAAACCCAACCATTCGGAATTTAGTGGTCATTGACGATTAATGCAGGAGCTTAGCAATGATCAAAGAATTACCAATTTGTTTACTAAGGGCTGTCATCACCGAAATTTAAGCGTCATTTTCATTCTTCAAAATATTTTTCACCAGGGAAAAGAACTGAGAGACATGAGTTTGAATTGCCATTATTTGGTGATGTTCAAGTCTCCGCAAGATAGCAGTCAAGTCAGTCACTTGGCGAAACAAATGTTTCCCGGTCATGTCAAATACATGCAAGAAGCGTTTCAGGATGCGACAAAACGCCCTTATGGCTACCTGTTATGCGACCTCAAACCCGAAACACCTACCGACTTCCGGTTGCGCACAAACATTTTCCCTGGGGAGACTCAGCTCGCCTATGTCAGAAAGGTGTAAAAAAGCTCCGTCGTAGTGATTGATATCAGTTGAGTATGGCCCAGCGACTAAGAAAGAACCACGATTTTCTTAAGCTCCTCGTCAAGTGTACCCCAGCTCAACGTAAAGCAATTTTGAAAGCAGCCGACGACGCTTTAGTAAAAACCATTTGTGAGTGTGTATTCAACGTACTTAAAGAAACAGTCCCTGTTAGTAAACCGGCAAAGAGAAAACTTCTTAAGCACAAGAAAGCCTTGACTGCTCTAGCTGAAGAGAGTACCCCGCTAAACAAGAAAAAGCAAATCTTGATAAAACACGGAGGAAACTTTTTAAGTGTTTTGCTACCTCCCGTTCTTCGAGTGTTGAGCTCGCTTCTTAGTTAAGATGAATCATACAAGACGCATGGTTCTCGTTCCTGAAAACACTCTGGAACGATTGCAGCAACGCCAGCAGATATTAACACCACCTGTAACACAAACTCTGAAAAATCTGGATAGCCAAATGGGGGATATTTTAGAAAGTAAACAACTTGGTGATGAGGAAAAGGCGAAGCTTTACAATCAGGTGTTGCAACAGTACTTGACTTATTACGATCAGCGGAAAGGCCAACCTCTCCATGAGAAGTTAACGGCCCCTAAAACAACAGAAACCCCCAAACCAGCTGAGAACGCAGAATCTACAGAGGAAGCTTCTCCAGATAATTCTCTTCCAACACCAGTAGAGGAAGAGGTCATGAAAAGTATACCCCAAATTTACAAAGCTGGGGCTAGACAGTTGTTGGATAAAATTAAAAAACACCAGGATGTGTTGCACTGGAATGATAAAGGAGAGCTGTTGTATGAAAACAAACCAATCCCAGGTTCTCATGTGGTCGACCTAGGCAACGACACATTGCGTCACCGAAAAGGATTTGAACCAGTGGGATGGTCCGTGTTTGCGAGGGGCCTGGCGCGAATGAATGTCCCCGAAAACTTGGTTCGTAATCCCCAACGTCAGAGTGCCATAAGAGAGTCTAAAGCAACAGTGAGATAGGAGACCCCAGAAGGTCCTTCGCGTTGGCTACCCACCCCACCTGTGACGTTATCTTCTGTCAAAAAGCAGAGGCGCAGAGTCGAGAGTCCTCGCCCTCAGGCTGTTCGATGGTTACGATTATAAATCATGACAAGAGACTTTTTTTTATTGTGAAACACAAAACTTTATTTTGTAATTCAATAAAATGTGTTGAAAAGAAATTGCATGGTGTCTGTTTACTGAACTTAGTGTCGTGCTTTTGCTCTTTGCTTGTTTACATCAGTACGATATTTCGGAAAACCTATAGGAAAATGTTTTTCAATAAATCGTTTTACGAGACTATCATTTTTACTTGTGTTTTTAGAAAAACGATGGACAATAGCACTTATACTTATATGCCGACTACGATATAAAGCAAAATACAAACAGTAATGTCCGCAGACTTTTGAATAGATGCTTTGTAATGTCACAGTATTAAAAGTCCACTGGTTAGAATTGTTGTTTAAAAAGGCAGAAAATGTTCCTGAATATTTGCTGGGTGGTGATCCGTAAGAATCGAAAAATTCTCCCTCTTGCTCCTTGGTGAAATAAAACGCCACCCAATGCGAACCTGGCTTGTCACTCGTATCCACATTGGCGATAAACAGGGCTGGGTAATGTGAAACACTTGCAGGCAGCTGGTCTGAGGGATACACGCCTTGAAACAAACCTCGTGTAAATTTATCCTTTCTCAAAATAAGGGTCAGTTGAATAGTGTCCATTTTTAGTTTGTGTAGTCGAACAACACGTTGCGGTTCCCGTCAATTTCAATCACGTTTTGGAATTCAGCGTACACGATAAGGTTAACCGTATTGGCCAGTGGTTCCTTGAAATGAAGCTCAGCGCGCAGGTTACCTTGCTTTATTAGCTCAAAATGGTCACCTGAGCAGTGGTCTGGGGACAAGTCAAAGCAGAATGCTGTGTAACCAGAGCCATAATCGCTTCTACTGATTTGATTACCCGCATCTTGGGATAGCTTTCCAGTGCCTGAGAACAGCCTTTGATAGCCCGCTATTACATTTTGACCTCTAGCTTCGTCAAAATTCAAGAACAGGGGTTTCCGAGGAATTTGCTCTCCGTCTACATAGACACCCACTTGAGTTAGATTGTGATGTTTGAAGTTGAACGGGTTGGTACTGTAAGTTCCATTATATGCCTGAGTATCCACTAAGACCAGCACGATTCGTTTAGGAATGTGACCCAAAAAGATGTTGTCGGGGTTAAAACTGCTAAATCCTCTTGGAATAGACAGCACTTTACAATCGATTCGGCGAACCGTGTACTTGGCGCTGGAGTGTTTTAGTGCAGCCGCATGGCCAAGTATAATAGAGGAGGCCAATTTCACCCGGCGAACGAACAAGATGGCTTCTGTGATTACCACCTTGAAAGTTGGAGCGGCTGCCGATGACATTAGACAAAACGAGTTCTTGGCTCGGTTCAGTTTGATTCTTAAATTCACTCCATTTAGCATCAACCGGTCTTGAAAGAAAATGTCGCTATGAATGGGCCCCATCATATCCACAATATGACTTTCTTTAGTGAAATCATAGCGAACCTTTAACCCCTTGTTTGCAGCATCGTCTGCAGCCACAGGGTTGGCAACATCCATTTTTCCAGGGGTATCTTTGTAAAACATGGCCATAGAAAGTTGACTTGTTTTTGCTTCTTGTCCGTAGTTTAGCAAGGTTTCGATCATGGCGCGATAAGGATAGGTATTGGTGGATGGAGAGATCAATCGCTCGTTCAAGGAAATGTCCACTTGGGAAAACAGGGAATGTCAAAACAGGTTCACGGGACCTACTTGTGTATCGGCGTCTATGGCGGTTCCATTTGCTTTTGTGATCTTGGCTTTAACAAATAACTGAGTGCGTGCCAAGTCCAAATACTCATCTCCGGTTCCCGAAACATAAAATTCGATCGGACCACTGTCCGTGATCTTACTGTTGGGGTGGTACTCATCCATTGCCCTTTGGAGATAGAGGTTTGTGTTGCAGGAATCGTAAAGAGATCCAACTCTGATTTCGTACATTCCTGAGACTCGTGATGCACAAAGGCCATAGTTACTTCCAGAAAGAAAATTTCTCTTTGGGCTTCTTTTGCTGCGGAGATGTTTTTGCTTTCTTGCCTTGAGGCGAACTGATTTTGGTTCGTTGCCCTTTTCTTTTTATAGCTTTTTTGCCAGCTCCTGATTGTGTCTGCAATGAATTCTGAGAAGGTAGACCGAGGGCTTGTTTCGTGCGCTTGTGGACTGCTGTTTTAATGTTATCTCCATCAAGAACATCTTGGACGACATTGACACCTGTTTGTAAAGCCTTTTTTCCAATCACCTTAGCACCCTGTTGAAGGTGAGGCATCGCCCAGCGAAACAGACCTTTGAATATGGACCCTAGTCCATAACCATGCTGAAATCGAGCACCGTGAAACGCTGGTAAACTCCCACCTTTTTGTTTGGCTTGATTAACATAGTACTGTTCGTACAACTTGTGATTTGGAGTGTGGAGTTTTTTCATCTTTAAAAGTACTGAGGTGCACTTTGACGAAAATGAAGTGTTAACAACACTCTCCCAAACTCAAATGGTACAGACTCCCCTGTGTCTGTCTTTATATTGACTTCGACAGTTTCAAATTGCTTTCTGCTGACAGGTAAATATTGGGGGCGCAAAAATGATTTACTGACTCGCTCCCCAACCTTTCCTTCTACAGGAACAATTCGAAGCAAAGGTACCAATGCATCTCCAACATATTGTGACTGAATAAGATCACAGTAAATGAAAAGGTCGTGAAAGCCGTATTCCAAATCCACTTGTCTTTCAGCGGTAGAGGTATTAGAAATAATTTCGTCCGGTGAAAATCCCAGCAGGTATCCAATGTTACCAAAGAAAAATTCTACGTTATTTTGTAGGTGAACAGTCACCTTTCTAGTGAACGCATCGTAGGAAAATGTCACGTCGTCATTGAAACGCTTTACATTCTCGATCAGCTCTTTCATCTTTGATAAGATATCTCCAATGGAAGAATAATGACCTGGTGGTACAATTAGGGCTTCCCATACTCCGGACAATTCTTGGTTCCGAAGGTAGAATCGATTACCAAAATTTTCTTGGACATTATTCCAGCTGTGAGGATAGTGAATTTCCGTTAACGCTACTTCCCAGTCCCCCGTCAAGCTAACGGTCTGAGGTAAACCAACTTGGTACTCAGTTAATGTGTTGCTGGGAAACTTATCGAGGCTGCTATTGCTAAGGAGATGCAGATAAAACTGTTTTACCTCCATCGTACCCTATGTTGAAATGAACTTTTTAATCTGGGTATTCTTAATTTATTAGAAACCACACACCATTCATTTTATTATTTCATTTTCTTTTATTCACTACACAAAAATTGCATAAATTACAATTTCAAAATATCTCTTTCTTGAACCCAAGAATCAAATTTTGGATCTTTGTAACCTTTCCATCTCACCAGATACTCTACTACACCTTTACGCTTTCTCTTCCGCAAAATCTTCTCGACGCGGTACACATCATCGTTCTTAATAATTTTCTGTAAGTCGGGTTCATAAAATGTTCCATCTAAGATTTCACCTGCATCATCTTTTAGTTTATAAACGGGTACTTGAAGAGCCATTCGGTTGTAAACAGTAAAAATTTCTTCCGTAAAATTAGGTAAGTAAGATTTTTCAAACATTCTCTTCACTTTGCTAATCCTGACGCGATCTCCCACTTGAAATTTATATCGCACAGACTTTTGAACATCATCCCCATACAAAGTATCCCACACTTTAGCTTCATTCGCTTTAGTCACCTGACTCGGTTTCATTTTAATACTTCGGTGGTAAGTGTTATTGTAAGAAGACAGTAATTGGGATAATACATTGATATAGGTGAGAGTGTTTTTGGCCGTGAAATATTTGTACATCTTATTCTTAAATGTTCGATTAAAACGCTCAACCACTGAGGCTTTGAGCCCAGAGTTAACAGTGAAAAAGGCAATGTTGTTGTCACGCAGAAATTTCTGGAACACGAGATTCTTGAACTCTGTTCCTTGATCTGTTTGCAGTTTGATGGGTTTGCGACCAGTAGAAAGGATCTTTTGAAAGGCTTTGACCAGTTCCTGTCCTTGTTTTGTCTTCAACGGTAACACAAACGCGTACTTGCTGAAGATATCTATACAAGTCAGTAAGTATTTATAGCCCCTGTTGTAGCGACTGAGATTTTGCAGGTCGACCAAATCCGCTTGAAATTGCTCATCTATTCCAAAAACGATGACTCGACTTCTCTTGTAGCGTCTTTGCGCGGGTTTGTGAAGAGTATAAACATCTTGCTGACTCAACCAATCTCGGACTTGTTTACGCGATATCTTGTTCTCTCCTTTCTCTTTGACTGCTCTGTAAACAGCATCTAAACCACCGAAACTTGCGGGTTGACTTGGGTCGAGGTAGATGCTGGCTAGTTTTTTCTCCATCACAAAATTCCGAGTTTTGTACAACCACTTTACCACCGCAGCAAGCTAATACACAACGAATGCGACTGAAAATGTGTTCAAAACCAAAAGTGGATGATGGCGGACAGCAACCCATCACTAGTGTTTACCTGAACGGTAAAAGATGTAATGACTTCTCTCTCTCTGGTGCTCCTTTATATAGCTACTGTCGAATCTGGGTGAGAGTGGGAACAAGAAGGTGAAATAGTAGTTCCCATTCCTCCTCGGTTAATTCTAGCTGATCCGCGAAGTTCAAAAATACCACCAATCGTCCCCAGTTTACTTTTGAAAAGACCTCAGAGTGGAGTTTTTTCAACCTTTCTAGACTCGAACCCGGCAGATCTTTAAATTTTTGTTGAAGCATTTCCATTTCACTTGAAGACACTTTCAATGTTTTGGCTTGTGCGCGATACAGTAAAAAGTCGAACCGAAGCAAAGACAGAGAAAGCCCCATCTTGACCAAGACAGAGACAAACACACACTGACTCAAAATTTAGTCATGAAGAAATTTTATTACTTTTAGAAACAAAGCTTATTTTGAATGTCATTAATTATCATGTCAAGGTGCATTGGTTGACACGAAGTTTATGACTATTGAGAACGGGCCACAGGGGCCACAGGGGCCACAGGGGCCACAAGGGCCTTTTATATCACTGTATTTTTCCTTTACGCGGGTGATTGAATCGCGCGTGGCGCACACACGCGCGCGCGGCTAGACAGACAACAAACCGTGTTTAGTATATTAAACCATATCTATTTACAAACTATGAACAAATGACATTTTTTTACACATAAAGGAAAACTCTTTATATACAATGCGATACAGAGAAAAGTCGACCCGAAGCAAAGACAGAGAAAGCCCCATCTTGACAAAGACAGAGACAAACACACACCGACTCAAAATCTTAGTCATCATGAAGAAATTTTATTACTTTTAGAAACAAAGCTTATTTTGAATGTCATTAATCATCATGTCAAGGTCCATTGGTGTTCTTCTTTTCTCACGACTCTATCAAGGCATTCTATTGTTTCTTGTTGATCACTGAAATCTTTCCATTTGAGCCCATTTGGTCGGTAGTATAGAGCGTATAAAATACGGCTTTGAAGATCATCACCCTGCTGGACAACATCAAGTTCCAGAGAAGCGAGGTAAATACTGGTCCACGACAATATTTGGCAGTACGCTTCCCATGATTTATCTGGTTTGAAGCCGGGAGCACTGCATATACTTTCGGTAGCGTTCAACATAGAATTCAGGTCAATTTGTTCCACCACTTCATCGTGGTAATACTTCCATGCGTCATCATTATCCATCATGAGGCAAGAATGTTGGTTTTGACTTGGGTGTTGAATAGCACAACCGTCGCAGTGATTCAGCTTTTCTTGTTGGATGAGTTTGTCAACCAAAGCCGCATAAGTCAGTTAGAATACATGTCCAATAAAACTGGCTATCCTTTGACGCTGGACAATGTTCCAAAGAATATTGTTGAGAGTTAAGACTTTTTTCCGAGCAAACTGAACTTTAAAGAATGAAATCATGATTGAACGGAGAGCGCGTTTGTCTGTTGAACACATAATAGATTGTTCACTATCCAATCAGGGTTAAAAGAGCCCTCTTCTTCTGAATCGTCTTGTTGTTTTTGCCACAGGTATTTCATAGGTTTGTCGATAGACAGAGAATTACAATTTTGCAAAGAAATACAACATGTTCTAGATGATTGTGAAACAACATTCCTCGACTTTTTTCGATGTGGGAACTCAATGTCTTAATCGCTCATTTTTAAAAAAAGACAAAAGCTAAACGGCTAATTCTTAATTGCATTTTTTTTACACAATACCTGGTCTTAAGTTGAAGATTTTTGCATAATCAACCCGCGGCGTGTTTGTCCAAAGACAAGTATGGCTGAGAAATAATTCTCTTATGGTGGTCCGTTTTCCAACAAACTACAGCTACAACGGATTGCATTTCAAAAAGTATGGTGTGAGGAAATGACGTAGGAACAGATTATGAACCCCACGTTGATCAGCAGAACTGTCATTATTGGTGTACGCAATATCTACGATTATCCTGATGCCTCATTGGAAATGAACGATTTGTTCAAGCGAAGATTACAACAAAATGTGTTATTTATATCATCTGAAAAAGGACCTACCTACGAACAAGACCTAACTTACAGAGACAATTTGGTAGACTACACATTAAGTGATGATGTAACCATTAGCCATTTCTTTAGTCATTATTATTATTTCTTGTGTACAATGATATACTCTTTGAGGTGAATAAAATAATTGCGATGAAATACTGTGTTGTGTAAATTTCTTTGCCCCTGCAAAATCGGGTCCGTTTCTGGACCTTGTAAAATTCTTTGTACAGCATACCATCGCGTGCAAACAACACTCGTTTATCTTGCTTTTTTTCCAATCGCCGTAAATGCCAAAACCATTGTTCGGTTAAGTTCTTGTTTACTTCGAAGAGGTCTTTCTGCCTTTGTGTTGTTAAGGCAGCAAATCGTTCAATATTTGATGCGTTCATGGCAAAGGGAGCCATTTTCTTGCATAATAAAACATCTTTCAGGGGCATCCAACGAGAAGATAGTTCAAAACCACTTAAACATAGCATTGTTCAACTATTTTAGTATTTAAACGGTAGATATAGGCATATTTTTGTCCGGATTTCCGAGCTGAAAGTCTAGTGATCCGAAAATTATAGGGATCAAAACTTACCTTTTCGAAAATTTCAGCCAGAAAAGGCTCCCGAAAATTCTAGGTGATCTTTCAAGGGTAAAAATCCGTTAAAAATGGGCAATTATACCATTTTTAAGATGTTCGAAAATCCTAGGAGAGGCAGGCAAGCAAGAAATTTTACAACAAATGTTCAGAAAATTCTAGATTGCAAATCGTCTTCTGAACACATATTTTCCGAAAATTGTCGTTGGGTGCCCCTGATCTTTTAGCGCGAAGTTGAATATGGCACGAAAATTATAACATGTGCTTTTGCTGACTATTACATGAAGGGGGTATTTCTAATGCTGCTCTGCGATTGGTTCAAAGTACTGAATACGAATGAGCTCCATTGTTCCCATTGTTCTCTAAATCTTAAACAAAAGAATACTGCTCTGTGATTGGTTACTAACCATATCAACCCCCTTAACTACTTCTACTGCTTTTATAAAATAACTTTTAGTAGAATGGAATCTTTTAGGTAAAAAATATGGTTTTAGTACCGTGATCAAGTCATGTCTTCTCTCTAAAGTCATCATAAGCCAATCATGACTCACGATTTAATAGCGCTGAACTTTCTCAAAACTCAGTTCAGTCAAACAACAAACAGCAGCACTTCAAAACACGAGTTTTTGCACTCATTACATGATAACTTATGAAAGCTGTTTTACAGGAAAAGTCAACATTTATTCATGCGAACGTACAATGAAAGAATACGTTCATGGTTTGTTTACTACAGAAGTAGAAATTAATTGAACATCAGACTGTACCCAGCTGTATTTTGTTGAGTCGATCCGTAAGAATTTCGTGCTTACCAGCTTTGTACTTTATTACTTCTAAAGCTATGGCAGTAATAAAATGTGGAAACCAACGCTTTTGATATTAAGAAGGGCAGGGTAAGTAACTTGTTCTGTTTTTTAGCCTTTCTAAGACCATTGTTTGCAGATCAATAGCCTGTTTTGTTTATGGCTCGTGGTCCGGATGCCTTTTTCTATGGGTTTACCGGTATAATAAACCATAGGTTTTTGACCAATCAGATCACGCGTACTATCTCAGTTATTTTATAAACTCTCATAGAACATAGCTCTCGACCAATCAGCACACGAGGATTCGTTCAGTTATTGTTAAATTCTTACTGATCTCATTTCATACCCCTGGGAGGTAATTATGCGGGCTGCTCTGTTTTGTAATTTTTTAATTTTTTTTGCTAGACCTTTATTCGGGTTACCCCTAGCGTGCGTTCATGCCCTCTCCCTATTATCCCTTTATGACTCTCACGGGAAGAGGGCATGATACATTTGTTTGTCGGATCACATGTAAAAAAGCCAGAATTTGGACTTTTTTCTGATTGGATAAGAAACAATACGAATGATTTGCGCTGTTCTGATTGGCCAAAATGTCGCCATCCGTTACTTGTTGTTGATTTCAGTCTGCATTTTTGCTTGCATAATGAGAAGGGAATACACACGCGGACTCATTATGAA